CTGCCCCCGAGGGAGAAATCCGATGGGTGCAGCAGGGAGGCAGCGAAATGGAACAGTCATTCGTGGAAGACGCCCAGGGGCCTCCGGCTGCGTGGACGGGACCCCGTCTCGCGCTCTAGCTTTGCAGAGGGTCCCCTCTACTGAAGGGGCTTGACTGGCCGCAGTTGCTTCCCGCAGCTCTCTCTGCGCCCACACCTGTAAAACAGCAGTGCTATGGCCAGGTATTGCTTGTCCAAAAACTCTCTGCCAGGCTGAGACACATCCGTGCCAAATCACAGCCTCCAAAAAACTGCCTGGCCAAGAGATAAATCCCTTGATTTAAAGCTTGTAATGGAAAAATGCACAGATCCAAAAAAATGCAAAGATGCATAATCAGAGTGGCACTAGAAAGCATGATTATAATTACACCCATGATTAGGAGGGAAAGGGAGAGGAGGAAGACAGGAGCAACAAGAAATTTGGTGGAAACTTTAAAATAATTCCCAGACCCAGATAATCACAATATTGTTGCAGTACTGTCAAAGCTTCTTGAGTGACAGTTCTGAATGAGTGAAGAGTGCATGATTCTTCTCCTTGGGGTCTTTTTTCTTTTTCCCTTTTTCTCTCTCTGAGAAGCTCTGTTATTTTCCTGTGTCTTGAGAACAAAAAGGCAAGGGGTCATAGAACAAAATGGACTACCTGAACTGCTTAAGTAAAAAATATTACCTTAGTTATTTAAAAATATTGAGTAAAAAATGTTACCTTTTCCCATAAAGCTGGTAATTTTAATTCCTTTCTAGCATTATACAGATTTTGGTGATGCTGGTGTTAATGTCACTAAATCAAGAGGCTTTCTCTTTTTTTTTTTTTCTTTTCTTTTTCTTTTTTTTTCCTTTTTTTTTTCTTTTTTTTAAAAAAAAATATGAGAGAAGTATTTGACTTAATCCAAATTTTTGATGTGATTTGTCCAGAAAAAACTTAGTCTCTGAGTCTCTTCTTGTCTATTACATTTTATAATCAAGATTATTTTGACTGCTCATTAATAATAAATACTGGCATGATGGCATGTAAGCATAGCTCCCTGCTTTGGAATAACATCTCTCTGCGACTTGGAAGCAACCTTTCTAGCAGTTACAGCTGGAACTGAAAAGACTTGTGGGTTTTCTATCATCTTCGTAATAATATCTTTATGATAGAGATATTGGAGGCATTGGACTTGGACCATCTCTCTACTTCTCCGAACTTC